ATTCAAAACGTAATAATCACTTAAATGTAGCTTGCGCCAACAGTCCTACACGGAAGCAGCTCCGGGCGGATGACGTATGAGTCCAGCATTGCGCATGCGCCGCTCAGAAAGTGACGCACGCGGAAACGCAGCGGAGAGATCAGAACAAAACACCGGTCACTTATTAGAAGTACAAAACGAGGATTTGTAAAGAAGAATGTCGGAGGATTTCGATATAAGCCAAGAGGAGACTCGGTTTCCTTTGCTAAAGTAAGGAAACTTTGCTTCCTTTGCTCCTGTTAACAAACGTTGGTTTTCACGAGACTCACCGGCACATGCGCAACGCTGACCTCATACGTCATCAGCCCAGAGCTGCTTCCGTGTACAACTTTTGGCGTAAGCTATATTAAAGTGATTATTAAGTTTTGAATATGGATATTTTTCTTACAAAAACACATTGTTTCGCTTCAGGAGGCCTTTGTTCTCCCCCCGTAGCCATGCGAGCCACTTTTTTTATGGATGGGCCTTTTTTATTTAAAGGGGTCATATGATACTGCTAAAAAGAACATTATTTTGTGTATTTGGTGTAATGAAATGTGTTTATGCGGTTTAAGGTTCAAAAAACATTATTTTCCATATACTGTACATTATTGTTTCTCCTCTATGCCCCGCCTTTCTGAAACACATCGATTTTTACAAAGCTCGTCGGTCTGAAAAGCGAGGTGTGCTCTGATTGGCCAGCTATCCAGTGCGTTGTGATTGGCCGAATACCTCAAGCGTGTGACGGAAATGTTACGCCCCTACCATATTGTGATGATGCCCTGTCCGGCCGGAGCGACGAGACAAAAGCATTAAAACCCATTATAAACGAGGCATTTGTTGCATCCAGTGGGGACATAATTACGGATTATATTGACTTATACTGTCTTTTTAAACCATAAAACCATGTCTGCATTTGTGATCTGAGAAATGACAATTGGAAGGCCAAACAAAGTAGTTTCGCTTTCACAATGAAACACACAGCGTCTTCATGACATGGCAGCGGCGGCAACAACAATACTACAGCGAGAATAAATGTTACGCCTTCTTTCTTTGCGTGAACATTTGGGCGGCGTTATGCAAATCTTCCCACATTGTGACGTAGACATGTGGGGGCGTGTTAGAACGAGCCATTTTTGGTAGGTGTGGTTAACTCTTAACTTTTATAAAGAATATCTCTTTGGATTTAAGACTTTAGTCTTTGCAACTTTACAGATCTTCTCTATGCACCAAGAGCTTGTAACACTCCAAAGAGAAAGGAAAAATTGAAATTGCATCATATGACCCCTTTAACTTCTTTTGGACTGATGCATGCAACACCCGCTGAGTGGCATTAAACAGATCAAAGACAACTTTTAATATAACTCCGACTGGATTCGTCTGAAAGAAGAAAGTCATACACCTAGGATGACTTGAGGGTGAGTACAGTGGACTTTCTGCAGGAAACACAATGAATTCAGACCAGACTTCAGAGCATAACATGAATCCAAAACACATGCAAACCAGAGACCAAAGCACACTTGAGCTTTATTTACCTGGAAGAGAAAGTTATCATTGTTCACGTGTTCACACAGTGAAGCATTTTAAATTATATTTAGCACCAAATGCATTTCCAACCCACTATATAATGCCAAAAAACACTGAAGACAGTTTCAGGGAGGAATAAAAAGTGCACTTTATGATTTATTACGTGATTAGCATGAACGTACACATGTCTTAAAGCCATGATGAATCAAAGTAGCAAGAGATATTTTTTCTGTATTGTAAAGTAAATCTAGAGTGTAACAGATTATCAGAAGTGAAAAAAAGAGTGAGGACTTGGTTCTATAAATCAGTTGTTGATTTGATTTTGAGATGTGGCCGTTGCACTCAAAAATGAAGATGAGCTTGCAGTCAGTAGTGGAGGGATGGGGTTTAAACTGAATAAATGATTGGAGTAGTCCAACATATGTCACCAAATAAGCCCGTCTTTCTCATAGAAATATCTATTAATATCTTTTTGATTAAATATAAAAAACAGAGCCTACAACACCCTCAATTACAAACAAATCACAGAGAGAGCGAGAGAACAAGAGCTTCTCTGCATCCTCTTTCTACAGTCAGCCTGGATGTGCATCACTATCTCTTGGCAGCTTTAAAAACGTAAAATCTAATTTGTTGACCATGTGGAGCTCATTGTGTTTTAAATATAAACTTCATTCATCTATAATGCTGTGATGTAGTGTGAAGTATGCTGAGAGGACACATGGAGACTTTAATAGATGATTAAAATGACTAACAGAGCATGAGTGCTGAGCTGACTACACATATTTATAAGCCATAATAGCAGCAAATGACCCCAGATCAGTAGGATGATTCCACAATGTTCTGGAAGAAATTCCTCTATTCCAGTATTTGGTTATGTGCTGCATTGTGTGAGAGAACGTGCAGTGTGAGCTAAACCCCCAGGATATTGGTACAGGAGCTAGAGCCAGGTAAGAGAACATCTGCTGAAGGGAGATATAAAACACACACACACACACACACACACACACACAAAACCACAATCCCCACCTTAATCACCTCTCAGTTGATGGAGGCTATTTGTGTGGCCAGAGATAGCTGGCTACAGCCTGAGAGAGGGAATGAGCACATCAGTATAAAGCATGTGTGCGTTTCAATAGATCTCATCAAATGTGATTTTCTTTGTGCTGACATACAGCAACATCCAAAAACCCTACAATAAAACATCTGGACGGTGGACCTACACTGATATTTCCTGCAGGTAAGCAACAGGACAATATAGATCTCTCATGCTTCAAAAACAGCTTGGGTCAGACCATCTCTTACCTAATCACCATTATAAAAATCAACACCATATATGAATATGAAATTACAAATATCCATGCTCCTCTGGGAATCACTGCAACTGAAAATTTAAAGAGGTATAAATAATTAAGAGGTAAAATAAATAAGTAATCTGATCTATTAAACTAATTTCCCTTCTGGAATTAATCAAGTTCAGATTTGGTTTTAATTAGCATTTCTTTAAAAACAACAACAAAAGTGATTTGTTGAATTCATACTCCTGCCCACAACCTAGCATATCACTCATGAGATAATTTAATGGACTCTGTGCACAATCGCTTCCACATTTAGTCTCAGTGCAGCACAATGTATGGAAATTGTGAGAAAATTAAGCACAAAATTCATCTTGAGAAAGTGTCACAACAGGACAAAGCAACCTTGATGATTCACCTTTAAGCTTAAGGAATTTGAAGGTTCTGGAACTCATTACTAAACTGTATCTTTTAATCAGGGGCGTTTCTAGCTTTTCATCAGTACAGGGGCCTCCATCAAAAAAGTGTCCCAATATTTTGAAATTTAGCACTGAGCATAGCACTGAGATTCCAGTGAAAATACGTAAGTAGACGACATGCAAAAAGTCAATTGAGTTTACCAAGAACACAGTCTGAGACTCTTGAGTCTTCACATCACAAGCCCCTGAGCCCTTGAACAGATGCATATCGGTCCAGTAAGCAACATGTGGGCAGGTCTACCTCTCTTATCCACCCTGACCACACCTTCTGCCAATCTGACTGTTATTCCAAGCAAAAGTAACATTTTGTACAGTTGCTGATTACTGCCTTTAAAGTAACTATTAAATATTTCTGCGAGCAGAGTGAATAGAGGTGGTGTAAAATATCAGGTTAGTTGCCAAATCTAATTATGGCTTTGAATTGTATCTCTGCACTGGTGGACCTGCCAAAGACACAGACCAAGGGCAAACAATAGGTCTATTTGTAAGAAATGAGTAATAAATGCAAAACAGGAAAAGAGAACTAAATCTTTTTTTTTGTCTAATTTTATGGAAAGCAAAAAGACAAGATGAAACCTTGAATGGGAATAAATCAGAGTGCTTCACACAAATAAAAAAAAGCAGAGACATTTAAAACAAAGCATGAACTTCTTTCAGTGTGCGGTCAACTCTCTATCATTAGACAAAGGCTTTCAGTTTCCATAGACACAAAAAAATGAAAAAGCCTTATCAGACATGCACAACTTGAACAAATACAAAAAATACCGCTAAGCATGTCGTATTTCCCATTCGTATTATGAGCTCACAGACCCTATTAACTGAAATTCAGCAACATCAGAGCAACACCTGTCATTAACACACTACATTCAACTTGAAGGTTTAGTTTACACAAAAATTAATGTTGCTCCAAAACTGTATGACTTAGTTTTTTGTGAAACACAAAAGATCCAGCATGACAACTATTTCAAATGGTGACTGAGGCTGTCATTCTTCCTTTTCACAGTTTTTACATTTTGGATGAACTAACAGTTTAACTAACAGCAATCTAATTTTTACAATATTGTATTATTATTATTATTCATTTTTAAAAAAAGCTTTTTCATCCTTATATGAACAGAAGGTTGTCCATTGGTATTGAAGCATAAGGATGGTGAACTTAAATGTTCCGTCGGTATCTAAGTGATGACATCTGCTCTAAGTTTGGTGATTATCAGCAATAATCAGTCGTTCTGTCGGTGCTGAAATCAGAGTGGCGGTGCTCGTGCGCTTGCTCTCACTTGATTGACAGCATGTCAACAGCGCTCGAGCCCTGCACGTGAAGCACACATTAACCATCAAAATATACACATGATGCGGTCTACTAACAGCGTATTTTAACACAGCCCGAGTCTTTTCAACAGACACTCTTAACGTGAGTTTTTAGGGAGAAAGAGTTAAAGTTAGTAATTCCCCTGAGGAGAGCGGTGGTCAGACAGCTCCCTCTACATCAACAATAACACGCTGGAAGCTTTCTACAACACCTCCACTGCAAAATCATTTCTCATGCAACTTCAGCTACGAGAACAGAGGTTAAATGCATCATAATGGCCTCTTAATACAGCAAGTAAGTAGTACGCGTACTTCTAACGGTACAATCAGATCTCCCTGCACACTATCCGACTGGAAATTGAGCGCAGCGTTTTACCTTTAGTTCCGCACTCTCCGCCATCTTGTGACTGCTAGCGCAGGCGTGACGCTGCCGGGTCACGTGGTGTGCACGCGCAGCTTCACCGTTCACACGTTTTTCAAACAGTAGTGTCCGAAGTGTGGGAAACCCGTATGTTCTGGAAAAGTTAATAAGCGTACTACTTCAAAAACTGGGCCGTCACTAGAGATTCATGGATAGGAAGGCTAAGCGTGTTTAGGGCGTCTGAGCGGACTTCCCCAGGGTTTTTAAAGCGCCCAAAAGTTCATTCATTTATTTTAGTATGACAATGGGTTTAAATATGTCATTCTTGAGACGTGGGACAAAACAGGTCCAGCAAGAGTAACTGCTATTAGCTTTAAAAAATATATATATTCTCTCAGGTTTTCGTCTCCTCCGTCAGATGTGTCACCTCCGTCAGTTGAATATTTTGATAATATTTCATGATATTTTATATTTGTTGTGGAATTGTTGGTCACATGTGAACGTGTAATCTGTCTGCTAACACGAGAATGTGTTTTGAAATGTTAAAAACATCTTGATTGCTGTTAAAGATAAAGCTGAAATTATATTACACAGTCCAAGCTAAAAAAGCACATTTTGTTAAAAAAAGAGAACAGTTGGGAGGTTGTATCAAAGCATAGCTCAGTAGCTTAGTACATATAAGATACATAAATGTAGTTTCATTTGTCTGAGTACAAGGTTTTATTTTTTCAATTTTGCACCCTGTTTTGTCCCACTTCTCAAGAATGACTCATATATTAAGATAATGTTAATTTTGGTCAGAATTAACTAAAAGTATTCAATCTAAAAGTCTAAGCTTTGTTAGACACTCATCTACAATATAATTTTTTTATCCAAATAAATAAATGAAAGTACACTCATATCCAAATCCGTCCAACACCAACAAAATGGCTGTAGTATCCAAAGTACCTGGATTTTATTTTAAATAAGCAGACATGCAGGTAAATCATAGACCATTTTACTTTTCTTGCGGCTGAAAACTTTGAGGAAAAGATCATTTTTAGTGTTACTGAATTTCCAGAATTGTTTTGACCCCCCCTAAAAAAATCTCATACAGAGATATATGGCATAAATAAATCCAGAGCATGCACAAGTTGGTTTGCACAGGTAAAATAATATATAATAATAATAAATAAGCGCAAAATGTCATAGTTTTAACTAAACAAAGTGTGTAACATAAAAAAACTTATATAGTAATAAATAACTTTGCAATAAACCACACAAAATACAGTACTTAGGCCTATTCAAAATTCTAAATAACAACAAGTGCATGGTTAAATTATGTGCATAGTGAAAATATGCATCAGGTTCACAAGTCAGACTTCAAACAAATCAATAAGAAACAAATGTTGAGTTTAGTTTATTTATTTTTTATTTTATTTTAAATAGAGTCTATTTGCAGAAATAAAACATATAAATACAAACGGTGTTCTTATACTAAAACTTGCCCTGAAATGCTTTAGGCCTACATTTATTTTGGCGGTGTGTTTGCTGGTTACAAAATATTTTCTGAATTATTTTTGTACTGTATTTTGCTATTTGTATTTTTTTTTTTTTTTTTTTTTTTCTTTTTTTTTTTTTTTTTTTTTTTTGTATAATCAAATGAAATACACTGTCTGCAATTATAGAACATTTGTATCGCTGAATAAGCAATGTGCAATGTCTGTTTTTACCACAAGATGGAAGTGTTGTATTTCACAACAGCAGAGACTCATTTTTTGAGTTAGTGCGTTTATAATGCCGTTTAAACAAAAATAAATAAAAATAAAAACCTGCTACTGAACACGTTTGCAGTGTTTGCAAAAATATAGGCTAGACCTATATTTCTTGAAAAGCTGTGATGTTGGGAAAGAGAACTACATTTTCATGAGAAAACATTTTTAAACATTACTGTTTAGTAGGCCTATATATATATATATATATATATATATATATATATATATTTGCCTGTATGGTAGCGTAACCCAGGCCTTATTATCACGCAAATGTTTTTCCAGGCACGAATTTCAGGCAAGGTCAAAACAGTTTCTGGATTTAGTTACAAAAGTGTGTTTGAAACATTGTGTGGACATATTTTGGATTTATGAGTCAATACTTGTGGCTTTAATTGAACTTTTATTGAAGAATGAGACAAGAGATGATGTTATTTTTGGGAAAGAGAGAGAGAGAGAGAGACTCCAGAGGTCTTATGACATTTAGTTTGAGCACTTTCATGTGGAATAACAACTTTTGTGGTTTTCTCAATTGTTTATTTGGGAAATATGGGATAAGTGCTTGTTCAAACTTGGGTTTGTTGTACATTAATATGAAGTGCAGCTGATTTTCAATCATTTTTGTGTTGATTAATTTTGGATAGATAGGTCCGAAATGTTGCTTATTTAAAGTGCTTAAAATTGACGATACACCATTAATTTGGGATAGCACAGTGAATTCATTTAGAGAAAAACAAATACATGTAAAACCACATAAATAATAAGAATAATAATCAACAATTCCAGTTTATGAAATGTCACATTATACAGTTCATTGCACATTGCCATATATTATGTATTTGTATTGTTTTAAAAAATCAACCTATTTACACAAGTAACAGCATAATTATTAGAATGTTTATTATCATCCTCTGGCTTCTTTTACCGTTTTCGTAAAGTAATCCTAGACACTTTCATCCGCAGTGGAATGTTCAAATGCTAGTGAATAGCCTACTTGGGATGGATTGTGATTCAGCAGTCCTCAGGCCTCAGTGTTCGGTGTGCATAACTTGAACCTCTCAAACAGAGTGTAAGTGGAGAATTCCTTTAGGGGAGGTTTACAGATGTCACTGGGATCCTGGGATGCAGCTTTAAGTTAAGGTGGTAAGAGGGGTGGCTTGAATGTGCAGGTCCCTGTGCAGTGGCGTGGAGTGAGCATTTTGCAGGAGAAATGGTGAAGAGCGTCGTGAGCTTCTAGGGAAAAGTTTGATTTAGTTCACAAGGGAAATCTAGCAGCTAAACCTACAGAATTTGTTACTGAATCATGCTACTTTCTCCAAATATGTCACAATGACATGAAATACAGAATGATACACCACATTGTATGTCTAATGCTTGAAGATTAGAAAGTGCATGAAGATTAGATCAAACTCCCCTCTAATCATCACTACTTTACAGTTTGTCATATGCAAATATCGATGTAACGAAGTACATTCATTTGTTTAAAAAAGTAGCACTTGCATATTTCTTTTGTATTCTTTTAGAATAATGTAACAAAAAAAAGTTTGTGGTTGATAGTGTATGTTTCTAAATTACCTTTAAGCTTCTGTTGAATTGCGTAACGAGCCTTTCTCTCCTGATCCAACTCGTTGCACAATGTGTCTAAATAAAAGAAAAATCAATAAATCATTTGGGGTGGATCACAAACATTATATATTTTTTTATTATTATTATGTCTATCTGAAAGTATGCAAGTGTTACTTTTTCTTAACTCTCCTTATTTCTTTTCACTAGTGCAAAATATGTATTACCTCGTACAATCTGCAGCTGCTGGACCATCTCCTCTCGATAAGACAGTTCCCTCTTCATTTGATCCTGAAAATTATCTGTTAGAGTCAACACGTATTATATTAACTTAAGTTATAAATAAAAGAAATGATATAGCAAATTAAAGCATGGAGTGAATATGTCCATCTCTTAATTACCTTTCAAACTTTGAAATTCCCTTTCCATTTTTTTTCTTAGCTCCACTTGCTCCAAGAGCTGCTTTTGGAGCTCCTCTGTGGAAACCGACAGAAATCACACCATTTATCATATCACTGTGACTTTTAATCATCACACATATCCCTGTGAGTAAGCTACAGTCGTTTAAAGAAAATGTATCCCCATTTTGTTTTCATGTATTTTCACTCTCTGTTTGGTTTTCTTGTCTAATAGCGCTATTTAGGTTACTAAGGCTAAACACACGGTCCCCGTGTTCTCAAGCATGACATTGCAAAATAATTAGGACAGTTGCCTGAGGGGTGTGTGGAAAACGAGCCTGGCAATGTGGATCGTCTGCAGTTCAAGGACAATTCTCAGATATACACAATTGTGTAGCGATCACACGCATTTTTTAAAATGCATAATGCGTGTAAAATGGAGAAACATTGCGCACAAAGAGCTATTTGCCTTAGAGATAGACATTGCCTTGTCAGTTTTTAAACAATCATAAAAGCCAGTTAGCTGCCTCTATTGGTAATTTTTCACGTTATCTTGTGTAGCCTGTAATCTGTTGTTTGAACACACTAACACCTTAGCTTATCAAACAAAGAAACAACACAGCTTAAAATTGTCCATACAATATTTACCTTTCGCCATATTCTCGATGTCTTTCTCGAAATTAAATCTGTTATCAGTACTTCTAAATGTAGCGTCGCCTGCCATAAAATAAGGAAGAAATATAGGCTATTACACCGGATTTTAAAGATGATTTGTTTTGTATAAATATATAGTAATGTTTAAACACACACACACACAAACAGGACAATGTTTTTATTGCTACTCACTTGGGTTCTCTTTGAAATCGCTCATTTGATCCGAACAGGATTTTTGTGATTCGCATTCGTCGTCAGTGGGACTGTTGTTTGAAATGTGTGAATCTAAAGGGGAATAGCTAGTCTTATTAGCAGGCCACTTATTCAGAGTGCGTAATTAAATATCATTTATTCTACAATCGACTAAATGAAAGTTGTAAAATTATATAATAGAGTATACGCTGTATAGCTAATACTAATGAATTGTAAATTGGGGGACATTTTTCACAGTCATCTCAATAGCAAAAATTGTCCAAGTTTACCCGAATGCACTTGTTTAAATGTTAGTTTGTTAAACTGTCTTACCGTTTGTTTCCGGTGCGCAGCGAGGAGGTTTAGAGGCCAGTGTGCTCTGAAGAGATGCTCCCTCCTTTTCATGTGAGTACACCTGCAAAAATTAACCAATCATTTAAAATAAATAAATACAACCCCAATTATGCATCATTTTCTTCTTTTCTTACGCAACCATGCGTCAGACAACAGACTGCGTTTA